GCAGGAATTATGCACGCTCGTTCGAACACATATGTTATTATTAAAAATTCATAATACCAAATTACAATTGTAATTCGTTTACAAAAAAATTTTGAAACGCATGATGAATTATTCTTATTTTTTTTTTTTTTTTTTTTTTTCCCTCTTTTTCTTCAACTCGCTTTGATTAAAACTATCCTTATCTTTATATATTTTTTTTTTTATTAAATTTATATTTTTGAAATAATTTTGTGCTCTTTTTTTTTTATATATTAATTTAACTCGTATGTTTTTTTCTTCATTCTTACAGCTACAGATTTCTATTTTCTGTTAATTCCTCGATCGTTAATTAAAATTTCACGCACTCTCCCTTTCAAAGTATCGTCTCGATACATTTTTATTCGTAATTATTAATTTTTTTTTATTTATTTCAGTATATAAAGCTTTAAATAAAGATAAAGTATCACAAGAAGATTCGTTATCAAGTTCTATTTTTTTTTTAAATTAATTAATTATTAAGAAAAATACTCAAAAATATTCATTTTTATTTATTTTATTTTTTGAACTTTCTCTCTTTTTTTTTTTATTTTTTTTCTTAATTAAATCTAATATACATTTTATAAAATAAGATTTATAAATTACTTTCTCGGTATTTTCAATTTTTTGTGTATGTACATTTTCTGTTCTTACTATTAAGTTTTAAATTCTTCATATTATTTGATGACACGCGATTGAAAATTGAAAATCTTTTATCTTTTATTCATGCAATCCTGATTATTCACATCGAATCACTAAGAGATTCATTTCGAAAAATAAGACGAAAGAAGAAATAATTCTGAAACAAAGAAATATTAATTTTAATTAATTATTTTGAATCTTACAATTTTGTTTGGCAAATAATTAATCTTGATCCATTTTCAAATGAAGAATTTTGAACGCTCCATTCAAAAAATATATTAAATTCTTTGTCTATCAATAATTATTTATCGAAATTTCAATATCAACTCGTATCACTTCAATCATTCTGAAAATACCAATTTGGAAGAGAACGATTCGATCTTTTTATCAAAAAAGCATGAATATTTCTTATGAAGGATAGATTCTTTGATTAGAGAATCAATCTCGTCAATTTTTTTTCTCTGGATGTTATAATCGATCGCTGAAGAATGGATCAATTTTTAAAGAAAGAACAACAAACGAAACCTTCAAGAAAATCTAAACAAATAATATAAAAGAAACGTGATTTTTAAAGCATTTTTCGTTAAGAGAACAATCGTATAAAATATAGTGTGCATTCTCTGCGCGTTTATTTTCTTAAAATTCTTCTTTTATGAATGAATGAAAAGTAAACTGTATCTAAATAAAATCGAATTTTCCTTCGCGTTAAGTAATGATCGAGAGAGAAGAAATATGTTTAAAAAAAAAAAAAAATATGGAATTCTTAGAGATTGAGCTATCTTGAGTTAAATCTTTCAAAAGGAAAATTATACCAATCATAAACGATTGAATTCTTCGATTGTATTTATAAAATATATTTAAAAAAAATTCATACAATGATAAGATATATACGATATTGAGTAAAAACGAATGTGATAAAAAGATACGAGTTTTTTTTCTTTTTTCTTTTTTTATAATTTTTAACTAATTTATAAAGTTTTATATATATATATATATACACATCATTTTGGGTATTTTCTTTTCTTCTTTTTATTATTTATTTTTTTAATACGAATAATTCTGTCACCTACGTTAAAAAGAAAGAACAATGTTTGGATCGAGAAATAGATAGATTAAGATAATCGATGATTTAAAGCTTTTAAGAATTAAATAGACGTGAAAAAATTTTTTATCAAAAATAAAAACCCGAAAAATCTCCGCTAAACCAAGGAAATCTCGATCCTTTTAAGTGAAATGGCAAATAGAAAAAAAAAAAAAAAAAAGAAAAAAAAAAGAACAGAATCGAGTAAATAAAGACTCTGAACTCGAGCTCTTTATTTACTAATTATCGAACTTATAAAACAAACTTCCGCTTTAGATGTTAAACTATACTTCATTTCTAATTCCAAATTCTAAATATCTTAAAATCTATCAAATGGGAACACATTCTGGAGACATTTGAAAATGAACTTTTAAGATATAAGATGTTAACTTATCTATTCTGATTTTTTTCAAGATAAACTTAATATCGATCCAAAGTTGCTACTTTCGACTCTAACATTCAAGATCCTATTGTAATAAACCTAAAAAATGTAAGATCACCGATCACTGATCACAAACAATATACGCATCAAACTCAAAAAGAAAAAAAAAAAAATAATAAAATTACCAAAGCTTCGTATCAAAGAAGAAAATAGTTCAATTCTATATTCCTAATTCAAAAATAAACGTTTACAAAACGCTTTCAAAAACGCTACCAATGACTATAATACTATCATCTTTTCTCTACGAATATATCTTTACCGCGAATTTTCTGCGTATCTTCCACCAGATTATGTAAATCAACAATGGAAAGAAAAATAATATTTTCAGTAACAACAATTGTCTCTGCATAATATATCGCACAGAAATGTAACAGAAACGGCAAGAGAATCAATCGAACTTCGCGAGGTAAGCAACTATTACTACAAAGGATCACTGATAGGTGGTAGTAGAAAATGTAGTGATGGTATCGAAGGAAACAGGGAACAGGCGGCTAGAGGTGTACACCGGGTGCATACAACATCGCTAGTCGGCCTGGCTCTCCTTAGCATTAACACGCGATATACCTGAAAAACCAGTTTGCGGGCTTTTTATTAGGCCTTTACTTTCGCTTGCAAACTGAAAGGAAGAGTGAGCGAGCGAGCGAACGAGGCCTGGCTAGAAGCAGCTTAGCTGGTGAACGAGCGAGCGAGCAAAGTGACTGACTGAGTTGACTAACGGGGTCACCAGTCGATACGAACACGCACATAAAAGAGAGAGACGCCAGCACTCATCCCCTCTATCCCTCAGCCCTGTATATTAACGCTACTAACGTATGTGTATATGTATATGACGTAAATTACGTGTTTACACAAAGAAAGAGAGAGAGAGAGAAAGACAAGGATAGAACAGAAACATGATAGAGGGACAGAGACATCTGCAAAAGACGCGTGGAAACGGTCGAAGATCTGTGGCTGGTGGTGTGTATTCTCTGTGCATGTATAGAACGGATTATACACACGTGGATACACACACATGCGTGCTCGTTTGTGTGTATAACACAGCGATTCGCAGAACGATACACAATTTGCAAGTTCGTCGCACTGACTACTATTATGTTTTATTATGCAAATACGTTTTATCATAGGCAGAGAAACATAGGCACGCGAACACGCGTGTATTTCACTTCTCTTTTCCCTCTCTCTCTCTTTCTTTCTTTGTGACACACCGTCAACGGATCTCAGGATATAGCATTAAATAATTATCGGTATCTAAAAAGAAAAAGAAGTTACGCAAGCAGAGCTGATTGTTGACCGTCGCCGCTACCGAAGAATACTGGTTGCCGCTTGATCAAAGGACTACTACTCGATCACGCAAAAGTATGTGTATTTAAATTCATGTAAATGTATGTAAATATATATATATATATATATAATATATGTAGTACTCATTGTATGTGACTATGTACGTAATTTCGCGTAATTTCAGGAAGGGCTCCTTTCTGAAATAATATCATAATTGAAAAAAGAAAAAAGAATAGCTGTTCCGTTTCTAATTTCTGTTATTTTACCGTCTCATGTTTTCTATATATGTGTTTTTAGTAAATCATTTCATGTAAAAAATGGTTCGACTTCTTTTTATCTGGATTAACCTTCATTTTTGTTTACTTTTTATGATTCGCAACATGCATGAATACATGTGTGCTTGTTATGTCTTCATTTTGTTTATTTGCGACATGACAGCGCTGGTTCACGCAAAAATTAGAAAAAGATAGAAATGAATGGAACCGTCTTTCACCCCTGGTTGATTTTCTTCTTCTTTATCTCCTTCGCTCTTTTACTCTCTCTCTCTCTCTCTCTC